AAGATCACCAACCTTCACCTGTAGCAACCTTTCTTTACCTCAGCAGATCGTGGTCTAATGCGATGTCGGCGCTCCAGTCAGCATCACTGTCTGGCTCGGCGGCAAGGAACATCACGTTAGCGGCGTGACGCGCTACACAACATGCGATGACGTCACGCGTCGCCTACTCAGACGAAAGCACGCCGGCAGCGGCGCAGACGACGACGACGACGACGACGACGACGACGTAGCGGCAGTTGCGTCGGGCGCGCAGACGTACGGACTGTTCGAACAGTGGCGAGACGTAGAGCAGCATCTGGCGGGAACAGATCGTCTGCTGAAAGTGTGGAACGCGTGGGCGGGAGAGCGACGCAACGTGCGCTTCGTGCTGAAGAAGGTGACGTCGACGACGTACACGTCGGCGACGACGACGACAACGACGACGACGCAGCGGAGACGACGACGACGCAAGATGCGTTCGCGTCGCTGCAGCATCCGTAAGCTGCGCACGTCGCGTCACGGCGCCGGGTCGAGTCTGAGCGACGACAGCAGCAGCGACGTGGTCGTCGCCGTCGGCAGCTCGGCGCGCGACACGGCCGACGAGGTCGCCGACGACGACGACGTCAGCGTCGTCGCCGTGTGCAACGAGGTCGTCGCGGCGCGCGGCGACCGCAACCGCGGCAGTTACCGCCACCAGAGGCCGCTCGGGCACGACGGTTTCGCGAAGCTGCGTCGCTCTCACTCGCTGCCTCACGCGGGGGTGGCGGGCGGCGCGTGGGGGGTGGAGCGCGCGCGCGGCGGCACGTCGTCGGCACGCGGCAGCAGCAGACACGCCGACGCTCCCGTCACGCGCGCCGACCAACTGTGCGCCGTCGTCGCCCAGCAGGAGGCGCTGATCGGCGAGCAGCGACGGCGCATGCGCGAGATCGAGGCGCACATCGAGCTCTACGAGAGCCGCACGCACCAGACGCGCATGCGCGAGGACGGCCGCAACTACGTGCAGGACACGTACCTGAGCAGCGACTCGGACGTCGGCGGCGGAGGCGCCCCCGGGTGGCGCGCCGCGGCGGCGAGCGACGACGCGCCGGAGTTCGTCGAACTGCTGCAGAATGTGCTAGAAGTGAGCGTCAGCCTCACGCACTACGAGGCGACCATCAATACCGTCTCCACCCTCCTCGCCGCCGAGCGACGCCGCCAGGGAGCGCCGCCGTCGCCCGGCGAGGCCGACGCCGTGCGCGATCGCATCCGCCAGGCGGCGCACGTGCACGCCGCGCAGCAGCGGCAGCAGGGCGACGTGCAGCGCCACCTGGAGGAGCACGAGTTCGAGCTGCGACGCAAGCGCCACTACTACGACTACCTCGTGACGGCGCTGCAGGGAGACGACGACGACGACGATGACGACGACGTCGGCGACGACGGAGCGTGGCAGACGACCGACGGCGCCGCGGCCGAGGAGGACGACGGCGGCTACGGTACGGGAGACGTCGCCGCGGAGTCTCAGCGAGACGCCGAGACCGGGAGCGAGACGCGAGGCGGCGGCGTCTGCGGTGAAGCGTCCGTCGCTAACGGTCTCACGTACGCTGCTGTTGCTGCTGCTGCTGCTGCTGCTGCTGCTGCTGATCGCGTCTCCCATCCTGCCCTCGACATGATAGAAGAAGAGGTCGTGGCGGCGCCCCCTGGCGGCGGGAACGAGGAGAACACCGCCGTGCAATCTGGAGCGAGCGAAAGAGCGGTGGCGTTCCCTGGCGACACGGAGACCCCCGCCGCGCGAGGGGTGGCGCCCCCGCGTGATGACGACAGCGGGGGCGAGAGACGGGTGGCGCTCCCTGGCGGCAGTCCCGACCTGCTGGCGCGACTCTGCGAGGACGCCATCTTGCGGCAGACGACGGAGGCGGCGCGCGGCGACACGCCGGTCTTCCGCACCGAACTCATCATAGACGGACCCGTCTGCAGCAGCAGCAGCAGCGGTGGCGCCCTCGTGTGCTGCGGCAGTAGCAACAGTGGCGCCCCCACGAGTAGCAGCGACAGCAGCGGGGCGTTGATGAGCAGCAGCGGTGGCGCCGCGAGCGGCGGCAGCAGCAGCAGCAGCAGCAACAGTGGCGCCCCCACGAGTAGCAGCGACAGCAGCGGGGCGTTGATGAGCAGCAGCGGTGGCGCCGCCGAGGAGCAGACAACCCAAGCAGAGCGACCGCACGCGAACGGCCGACACGCTGTCCGCTCGCAGAATGACGCGTCGTCGTCGTCGTCGTCGGCTAGACCGCCGGCGGCGCCCTCTGTCCGCGACTCGCTCATCAACGTGCTGTGCAACGGCGATGACGACTCCAGAGATGACGACGACGACGACGGAAACGCCGACGGCCCCTCCAAGGGTCGCTTCAACGGCCGCGCCGCCGACGCGCCGCCAGGTGGCGCCAGTCGCTTCTCGCGCAATTCGGCCGCGAGGAGGAGCCTCCGACTCGCCGACCTGGAGAGGGCGCCACCAGCGTACGAGACAAACTCCGGCTGCGGCGGAGGAGGAGCCGCGCGGGCCGAGGAGGAGGAAAAGGAAGGTTTCTTCAGGAGAGACGGCGAGGAGAGGCTGAGCACGCGCTCCCTGCAGCAGGCGCGCTGCTGCGACGCGGCGAAGCCGCACGAGGGCGCCACCCTCTACGTCATCGACCGCCGCACGACGGGCAGAGCGAGCGGAGCTGTGCAGGCGGTGACAACGGTGGCGGCGAAACCTGTCAGCAATGGCGTCGGTGCGAACAAATCGCTGGACAACTATCAGGAGATAATGAGCTGGTATGCGCGTGCGCAGCAGACGAGCGTAACCAAGCAACAGCAGCAGCAGACGATGATAATGCAGCAGCAGCAGCAGCATCAGAAGCAGACGATGATAATGCAGCAGCAACAAAACAACAACAACAACAACAAACAACAACAAACAACAACAACAACAACAACAACAACAACAACAACAACAACAACAACAGCAGCAGCAGCAGCAGCAACAGCAGCAGCAGCAGCAGCATCAGAAGCAGACGATGATAATGCAGCAGCAACAACAACAACAGCAGCAGCAGGTACCGCCGCCTCCATTGCAACAGCAACAACAACAACAACAACAGCAGCAGCAGATGACGGCCACGCAGCCTCTTGGCAATCTCGCGAGATCTCACGCGGTCGCCGGCTCCGCGCGCGTCCAGTCCGGCTACGCACGAACCCCGCCGGGCCCCACCCCGCCGCGCCACCGCACCTTCCACGATCTCTCCTCCCCGCAGCCGCTCGCCGAACGCCACCTGGCGGGCGACGGCTCCCCCGAGCGCCACCTGGCGACGTTCTCCATCGCGCAGCAGGCGCTGGCGACGTCGTCACCGGTGCAGGCGGCGGTCGACGCGGCGGTGGCTGCGACGACGACGCGACACGGTCTCTATAGCGCCATCGCTCTCGTCGGCACGAAGACGGGCCGGAGCTTCCACTTGCTGCCGCCAGGGGGCACGCACGGCGGGCTGCCGCCGGAGGAGAAGGGCGGCGTCGTCATCGTCGGCGGAGGAGGAGGAGGAGGAGGGAAGTCGCATGACAACGACAGCAACTCAGACGATACGGGCCTGAGTTCCCTCCACAGCAGCGAGGACGCCACCTACCTGGGGCTAGCGACACTAGTATGAGATGCTAGTGGCGCCACCTAGCTGCAATTGATGGATCTAGTGACGACGTATGTCCACCCACACCTACCTATATATATATATATATATGCTAATACTATTATAGAACTGCAGTGCAGTTTAATACTAATATGGTTTGTTTGTCGGGCGACATTACAACAGGAAGAATATAATATAAAATGGAAGGTACATTTATTAACTCCTGATATTATCAACTAACAGTTGTTTCGTGAGCTCTATAATTATATTGAAGATGTTCACCAGCTCCCCCTGGCGGTGATAACGCTCAAGCCGTCGCTGTTTCTGTATAAGGGACCCCGTCCATGAAACTAACATGAATTTAATAATTTACATGAATTGTTTTTTGTTTACCATTATAATCGGAACCCAAAATATGGCGTAAAGGATTCTTTTGTGAAACGTAAATCTCTGATATAATGATAATGATAATGATAATGTCAGCTTCAGGTTTTGTGTTACGGTTACTCCATGTGAGTGAATAGACTGATCCTCAACTTGCCAAACATATTTTTTTGGCATTTTGCCACGTAATCGCATTTTGTTGTTTAGTTAGGTTTTTTTTAGTGGCGGTCACATATATGACAAGACAAGTCCGTGATGATATTCAACTATTTCGGTTTCCCTCCGTGCACACGGACCATACACACGTCTCTTTAAACAGTAATGTTTAAAAACTCAACGTTAAACACGGCCGTATGTTTATCCCTACAGCTTAACGGCTTCTGGAAAATTCTGGTCTCTGCCAAGATTTTATTACTGTGTATATAAATAATATAATAACCGTTTTATAGCGTGTATAAACATGATTATTCTACCCAACATACTGATATTTTGTGTGGAGATATATTATAAGAATCTGTATTAATTATCAGATGCTCGGTACTTCCTATTAGTTAGTTAAACAGATATGGTATGCATGTAAAGAATTTGAACCTGAGAAAACATTGTGGTGTTACGCCATCTATTGGCTGAAATGGATACGACCGAAAACGGGGCAGCATTTGATTGACGCGCTGTTTATGGTATTTATTCACATAGTGCATAAATGAACTTTACGAGGCGTTTGAGTAAAAAATCAAATATTATTTATATTATATTTCAGGACAACATGTATAATATATAGCTAAGCTATAACTAAATTACAATAGAAAATTGGCAATACTTGAAATGCGGGTTGTTTCCTTCTCGATCTGACGAAAAATTCCTTTACACAAATCCACCATAAAAAAGAAGTTTGCACACAGTACACGCAAGACAAATTTCGCAATCAATGACATAATATCTAGTACTACTAATAATAATCTATACATAATTGCATCGCATTTTAAATGCGTAATATGAGGAGATATAAGGAGGTGTTTAACTTCGTCATCGTGTGATAGCTGAGGAGTCAAGCTGGTCTTACATTGATGTAAAGTAATTGCACGCATCACACTATGCACTTACCCCTACAACAAGAACACCACAACGACAACAAACTTTACATTACCTCGTTACATTAGCCCGGAAAAATATGTACACCTTCGACTAACGGAGATCGCAGCGAGACCAGCAGAGGGCACTCATTGTGCCTGCAGTGGCCAACAGAGGGCGCTCATTGTGCCAGTAGCAGCCAGCAGAGGGTGCCTGTCACGCCCGAATTTACGCCATCAGCGAAATGAGAGCGTCGAAGAATTTGCTCCTGTCCTCAGTCTTCATTTTAATGACTGAAAGAAATTAATACAATCAAAATCAACGGATCAATAAAAATCAACGCCATGATCCATGATAGATGATCAATAACACACGATCGTTAATAATTGATTAGTGATACACGGTCAACGAAGATCGACAGTTAAACAGAAAACACGCGCTCACTCACCCGACGAATCGAAAAAGTCTTGAGAGATCCTGGAGTTGGTTTTCTCCGCTGCCTGCTCGAACGCCTTACCGAACAAGCTGTTATGAAAAAGAGAGCGAGTAAGAGAAGAAAGAAGCAATGAGAATCACTGAACGTACAAGATACACAATAAACGCACGCAACTCTAACATCGAAATATGATAACGGTATAAATATATGGTTTGCCTTGCGTATGAAACCCACCCAACGAGACTTAGATAGTTTGAACAACAAATACGTGCAACAAACACGTGCAACGAAAAAATGCAACAAACACGTGCAACAAACACACGCAACAAAAAACAAGCAGCAAACTCCACCTATTATTTGCTACAACGCATTGCTCCCCCCACCTCACCCACCACCACCACCTCCCACCCCACCCCGTATCCCCCTTGGCCAATGCCCGACAGCGACGGATGCTCACTTCTTTTGCGACTCCTCGGAGTGCGGCGGCATGCCGACGACGATGCTCGTTCCCTCCTCCTCGTCCAGCGGGGCCGTCAACACCAGGGGGAGACTCTTCAGCCGCTTGTTACGCGTCTGCATGAAAACAAGATGGCGTGACATTACGTCGCAGCACACACGTGCGTCACGATTGCCATCTCCCGCTATCCCTGGCCCAGAATGTCGAGGATGGGAAAGCAGGTGTGGGAACGCTCACCGCATTCATTGCATACAAAGCAACTTTCAAGCGTTTTTATTTTTGGCCCTTTCCAAAGAATTATATTTAACTTAATTATTTAAATTTATATTTTATTATACTTTGTACATTTAGTATTGTAAATTCTTTACATCAACATATTTGAAATACGTATACATATACGTACACTCATTGACATATAATTGATTATTAGGATTAAGGTAAACAAATCAGTTAAGGGCGGGCGACCTAAGAGGTATAATAATAATAATAAATAATATATGCTTAATATATGCTATACCTAAGAGGTAGCAATGGACTTAATGAACTAAGATGCTGAGGAGAGGATGCTGAGGCACTCACCGTGACGACGTATGCGTGCAGCATGAAGCGAGCAAGCATCTGCAGACACACGGGTCGCGAGAACAGCTTAGCGTCCGGCGTCCCCTGCAAACCACGTCAACTCGTTAATAATTTTAATTAAAAAATTAAAATTTAATTAATTATTTTTAAAAATAAATTTTTTAATAATTCTAATCAACACGTTACTAACGATCGCACCCACGAACAGCGACAGACACAACATATTGCTCGTGCCAACGATACGAAAATACTAAAACTTATACAAAGACCGGGGATACACACAGAGTTTAGCTTCGAAGTCGAGGCGACAGCTGAGCTGGTAAACCTCTCTACAAGCTTAACTCTTTACCTGCTGTGTGAAGCCATAGAAGAAGCTTAACTCTTTACCTGCTGTACGAGGCCATAGAGGAAGCTTAACTCTTTATCTGCTGTACGAAGCCGTAGAGGAAGCTTAACTGTTTACCTGCTGTATGAATCCGTAGAGGAAGCTTAACCCTTTACCTGCTGTATGAATCCGTAAAGGAAGGGTCCGGCGGAGATGAGCTGGTGCATGTCGATGAAGCCATGCACGGTGGAGAGGATGGCCTGCATGAGCAACTTCGCAGCTTCCACGCCCCGCTCCAGCAGCGAGACGTTGACGCGGGAGAGACAGTCGAGCGCTTCGAGAAACCTGTCCGACGCAGTCTTGTCCTTACCCTGCAAACACACAAACCATACCATACTATACTATACTATACTATACTCTACTCTACTCTACTATACTATACTATTACAGACACTGGAAGTCTTGTCCTGACCCTGTGATCGCACGACCGGTTAATGAGAGGGTTAGGACAAGACTTGTAGTGTGTGTATAGTAGGGCCACCCTTAAAAAATTGTTTGTTTCCCCTTTACCTACTCGTCTCTCAGGGTACCGAGTAGGTAGGTAGGTGAAAAATCTTTTTTATTTTGTTTTGACAAGATGTGTGTATGAATATTGTATATTCTGTTTTGTGTATATGTGTTTGCGGAACGAATTTGATTTTTTTTTTTGGCGAAAATTTTTTGTTTTGTTTTGTTTTAATCGGCCAATAAAATGTGTCGAGTAGCGGCGTTTTGGCAAGTCGGTCGCTAAAGGGGAAACAAGCAATATGTAATCTTAGGCCTAGCACCCTGCCTAACAGAACCATGTACGTGCGTGGCGATGCAGCGTGTGTGTGTGTGTGTGTGTGTGATACTCACACTGGCCTCCAGCAGTGCGGTGACGGCGTAGACAACGTCGCTGGCGCAATACTTGTTCCTGTAGCCGTACTGCGTGTGGAACGATCCGAACACGATACGCTGCAGACTGCAACGAGGAGGCACAACGAACGCCGGGTGAATCATCGGCCGTGGCGACGGCGCGCAAACGCTCTGCGTCACACGTGGACTACATAGCACGAGCGTGGACTGTACAGTTCATGGTGGGCGCTATAAATTACGCATAGACGAGGAAAGCCGAGGGAATGAAAAGCTGCCCCCACTGATATGAGCGCAGAAGATTTAGTGCAAATTTGCAGCGAACCTTACAATTTTTGCAGATCGAAATATATTTCTATAATTTCTATATTATATTATATATCGCGAAATATATCAGGGTTTTGTCCGAGCTTTTAGCGCGTGTCCGATTCAACTTACTGGTACTTCTCGGCTCTGTCCTCGATCCAGTCCTTGACGTGGGACTTGAACTGGACGTCCATCGAGCCGAACTTCTGCTTCACCTGCACCAGAGGCATCCTGCGACGCGAGAAAAAACACGGTGCGTGAACAATCGACACAGTCCTACCGTGTCCCGACCCAAGATCCAGCGGCAGCCTCCCCTCTTGCACCCTTCACTCACCCTCCCCGTCACCTCCTCCTGCCCACCACCTCTTCCTACCTTCCACCACCCAGCACCCTTCACTCACCCTCCACCCCCCCACCCAGCACCTGCACTCACCCCATGTCAGCTAGGAACTCCATGAGTCTCTTCACGCCCTTGTTCGTCCACACCTTGAACGCGCAGGAGACGAAGCGGGAGTGACGCATGCTCTCGAACAGCGACCAGTGCCGATACAGCACCAGGTTCAGTCTGACGCGCGCGCGGCTAAGGAACACCAACTACAAGCTACATGATACAAGCTGCAGATGTTTGATTCTCTCTACTAACTCACAGACAAGCACGCGCGGCTAAGGAACACCAACTACAAGCTACATGATACAAGCTGCACATGTTTGATTCTCTCTACTAACTCACAGACAAGCGCGCGGCTAAGGAACACAAACTACGAGCTACTACATACAAGTTATATACATTACATAGATTACATACATTACAAGCTCAGGGTGCGAAATTAAAGCGAGTCCGGAGTCAAATGCTCCCTGATTTACTGTCGGACTCCCTGATTTGACATATGCAGGAGTCCGTGTGCATACTAACAATACTAAATTCTGCTATACTAACAAGTTCATTCCAGAGTATGGCTTCACGAAATTACCGTATTTTTTTCAGCAAATGTCCAAAGAAAATTTGGCAGACGTGCATCGCATGAATCTTCAAAATACGCACACGCGTTATTGTTGTTCTGCTTTAGTTTTGAACTTCAGACTGCGGACTCCCTTATTTTGCTACGGGCTCCCTCATTTTGAGGGCAGGGAGTCCGTTGGACTCCCTTGTTCAAAAGTTAATTTCTAACCCTGCAAGCTACATACAAGCTACAAGCTATAAATGTTTTATTCTCTCTACAAGCTCACAGACAAGCCATGGATGTGTATGTCGGCCATGAGTTCTCATGAAGAAGTACCCACCTTATCGGACATCTTATGTAAAAGTTAACACACTGTGTACTTACATTTCCTCTCACTGTCTTTCTCTCTCTCTCTCTCTCTCAACTCTCTTTCTCATTCTCGGTCTATCTCTCTCTCTCTCTCTCTCTCTCTCTCTCAACTCTCTTTCTCATTCTCGGTCTATCTCTC